GGCTCGTGCTTGAAGGGCGTAGTCCAATTGTCCTCACTGGGCACTCAGACGCTTCTTGGGTTGACGACCAGGCTACACAGCGGTCGTCACAGGGTTACACTTTCAGCCTTGGCTCCGGTTCTGTTTCTTGGCGGTCTACTCGCTCGTCTTCTGTTCTCAGCTCCAGTTGTGAGGCTGAGGTCTACGCCACAGCCATGGCTGCTCAGGAGTTGCGCTGGCTCACTTACCTGCTGACCGACCTGGGAGAGCGGCCTCGTTCTCCTCCAGTTCTGTACGTCGACAACAAGGCCGCCATTGCCTTGTGTGAGGAGCACAGACTGGAGCACAAAACGAAGCACATCGCTCTGCGTTACTTCCTGGCTCGAGAGTTGCAACAGCGTGGTCAGCTTCGTCTTGCTCACGTGGCCACTCGGGCCAACACTGCTGATATATTCACCAAGGCGCTTCCGTCTGGTGATCATCAGCGTTTTTGTACCTTGTTAGGCCTTGTGCCTACGTTTCCACACTTGTTGTAGACTTTGCTTGTACTGTGATCTATATATATATATCTGCTTGCTTATTCTTGCTAGGCAGTGATCACTGTACTGTTCTTGTCGCATATATATCTCTGCATGCGAACTGGCCTTGTGGCCCTTTACTTGTGCTCAGAGTGTGTGGTGACGTTGTGATCCACCCTGAGCTTGCTTTGCTTCTCTTGACTGGTCTTGTGACCCCTTGTTCTCCCCCACTTTGCCTATGGGGGTGTATCAAACTATATTTGTGTGTTGGCTTTGTCTAGGCTGTAGTGGGGTAGCACTAGGGGGTACAGAATTTCTCTCGACATTCTTCTTGTACCCCTCCTTGACCTAATCTCATCATCCTTAGCCTAAGTTCTAAGAACGCTGGCTCACCTACCTACTGACCGACTTGGGAGAGCGGCCTCGTTCTCCTCCAGTTCTGTATGTAGACAACAAGGCTGCTATTACCTTGTGTCAGGAGCACAGACTGGAGCACATATGAAGCACATCGCTCTGCGTTACTTCCTTGCTCGAGAGTTGCAGCAGCGTGGTCAGCTTCGTGTTGCTTACGTGGCCACCCGGGCCAATACTTCTGATATATTCATGTCAGAATTATATTCTTATACCTGCATGTAGTTCTAGCTGTTTAGTGTAGATATTAACTTTATAGGTGGTGCACCACTTTGTTTGCTATATGTACCCTAGTGCTATAGTGAACATTCATTCTCCTCTCATCTCTCGACTCTCCTTCCTTGGCACAAACTAGCTCAATCCCCTTGGGCCTAGGCTACTAAGCCTAGGCCCACTTAAACCTAGTCCCTACTTATGCCACTATTCTGACATGTTATCAGAGCCTGTTAAGTCCTGGCCTGTGGGCCAGCCTCTCGCTTCCGCTGCTGTTTTTCCGGTCGCGCGCCTCGGGCGCGTGGCGATTTTCGTTCTGTCCCGCGCCCGGGTGGCGCGTGACGTTTTTTCTGCCCGTCGCGGACGCGCCCCTGGCGCCCGCGACGGCACCCTGAGCCGCCGCGGACCCGCCCCTGGCGCCCGCGACGGCACCCTGAGCCGCCGCGGACCCGCCCCTGGCGCCCGCGACGGTGCCCTGAGCCGCCGCGGACCCGCCCCTGGCGCCCGCGACGGTGCCCTGAGCCGCCGCGGACCCGCCCCTGGCGCCCGCGACGGTGCCCTGAGCCGCCGCGGACCCGCCCCTGGCGCCCGCGACGGTGCCCTGAGCCGCCGCGGACCCGCCCCTGGCGCCCGCGACGGTGCCCTGAGCCGCCGCGGACCCGCCCCTGGCGCCCGCGACGGCGCCTCTACCTCACCCCGCGCCTGCACTCGCTCCAGCCGCCCCTGCTCTACCCGCGCCGACCCTCTGTAGCCGCTCCGCGGCTTTATCCCCCCCCCCCCCTCCTTCGTCTCCCTGCAGCCGTGGGGGGGAGGGTCTGGGGGTGGCGGGTGTGGGGGTGATGGGTGGTGTGTTTCCCTTCCCCTCCTCCTCCTTTCGTTCCCACTGCTGCAGCTGCCGCTGGGGGGGAGGGTGTGAGGGTGTGGGGGAGCCAAGGGAGTGGCGCTGGGGTGTGGGGTGTGAGGAGAGTAAAGGGGTGGCAGGAGTGCCTGCCCCTTTGCTGCTGTACCTGCTCTGTTACCTTGCCTGCTGTTGCTGTTTTCTCTGTCTGTGGTGTACCCCTGCAGGTTGTGTTCTGCACTTAGCTATTCCTGCATGCAGTTACGGGGGGATGTCAGAATTATATTCTTATCCCTGCATGTAGTTCTAGCTGTAGTGTAGATATTAACTTTATAGGTGGTGCACCTCTTTGTTTGCTATATGTACCCTAGTGCTATAGTGAACATTCATTCTCCTCTCATCTCTCGACTCTCCTTCCTTGGCACAAACTAGCTCAATCTCCTTGGGCCTAGGCTACTAAGCCTAGGCCCTCACTTAAACCTAGTCCCTACTTATGCCACTATTCTGACAATTCACCAAGGCACTTCCGTCTGGTGATCATCAGCGCTTCTGTACTATGCTAGGCCTTGTGCCTGTTTCGTCTCACTTGCTCACTTCGTGACTTTGCTTGTACTGTGATTTATATATATACCTGCATGCTTGCTCTTGCTAGGTAGTGATCACTGTACTGTTGTTGTTGCATATATACCTCTGCATGTGAACTGGCCTTGTGGCCTTTTGCTTGTGCTCGGAATGTGTGGTGACGTTGTGATCCATCCTGAGCTTGCTTTGCTTTTCTTGACTGGTCTTGTGACCCCTTGTTCTCCCCCACTTTGCCTATGGGGGTGTGTCAAACTATATATGTGTTAGTTCTGTGTAGGCTATAGTGGGGTAGCCCATATGGGGTACAACCCAAAGTTAGGGTTAGTACTTGTACCCACATTTCATTCAATGCACTCATTCCTGCTTGTTATCTTGACATATCCGTGAATACGAGTACTTGTTAACAACCTGATGAATTGGTACCGTATCATGTGCTGTCAAGGTACAAACTATCGGTTGGATTTGTTTGTGCCTGCTAGGTGTAAGCTGGAAGAAGGCGGAACGGGAGCTGCCGCGCTTCACATGGATAATGCATTTGCAATACAAGGACCAGACGTTTCACGGAAGCCTCAAGAACATGCGGCAGAGCAAAGATTGGGAGAAATCTCGTCCGCTTGTGGGTGGCGGTGGCTGTGTTACCGCTCAGCACAGTGGAGTGCTAGCGAGGCTTCAGTCACCAAAACGTTATCAAGTCCTAACTTCTTGGCAACCTGTGCAACGCCAGGCTCGCCGACCTCATGTGCATCTCTCTCCTTCAGTACGACCCAGACTGGGAGGACGTAGTGAAGGTGTGGCATGGAGTAAAGAAGCGGAGCCCTGCAAAGGAAATCAATGGTGTGGCCAAGGGCAACAAGCGCAAGGGGGCGGCAGCAGAAGCAGATGCCCTAGCACCAGCGACAGAGCCTGCCGAGAAGGCAAACCTTGCTGAAATGAAGTGACGGAAGAAGGGCAAGATTGTTGTCAGTGATAGTGAAGATGATGCAGTAGATGTTCGTGCAACTGTAACCCTTAACAGTGATTCTAACTCAGATTAGGATAGTTGAATATGTGAGACTAGAGATCAGCTAGTCTAGGATCTCCTCGGTACCGTCATACCCCCGATATAAGCGCCACCCTCGGACAAGCGCCTGGCGCTTTTAATTGGCGTGTGGCGCTTATATCCGCTGCTCGATTATAAGCGCACCCCCTGAAAAAACTTGTTTTATTATAAGCGCACGTAAACTTTAAATTTTGAAATGTGTTCAAAACGCTGTAACGATTTTTACTTTAGCAGGCGGATGTGTTGCAGATTCGGTTCCCTTCACATTCGGACCCTGCACTGGATGCGGGTCCAGTCAGCAGGAGCTGTCAGGAGCTGGATGTGAGTCAGATTCACTCTCATCCCAGCGCGCGCGAGAATTTCACAGACGACCCCATGTAACTTCGACTCGATTGAAAAGGCAAGCACGAGATTTGCAGTTTAGTGTTAAAAAACAAAAAATATATATATGTCATTTTATAAACGCCGGCGCTTATAAATTTACTCGATTATAAGCCCACCCCCCTAAAAAAACCTGTTTTATTATTGCCCCCCATGGGGGTATATCCGGGGTATGACGGTAGTTATTCTTAACAAAAGACAAGGATTTTAGATTTGTCTGATTGATCAGACTGAAATTTCGAAATTTTTGATTCATAAGACGAGGAAAATCAAGATCCGTCTGATGCGTCAGGCGGGTTCTGGCACTAGCGAGGACCCTGCCCCAGGGGCGGGTACATCCGGGGGCTGACGGTACTATTAACAGCTTGTCTCAGCTTTTTTGGGAAGTCGGATGGAAACCAAAAACGTAGGTCTGAATTCGACGATCAGAGGAAATTTCTCTGATAGCAGAGGCCCTGGGTCTAGTTCGAGGGGGATGATGGGTCTACTTCTAGTAAATTGTTCACTCACATGATTTTGCCAAGCAAGGATGATTCAGCCTTTGAGGAACCAAACGACTCGATAAACTCAAGCTGTTTTTCGAGCGGGATGGACGCCTGTGCCTGCACCATACGCAGCTCGTCATCCACCTTGTGTGCAGCTCTGTTCTCCTCCACGCCAAAGCACTCCTGTCGGATGGCACTCAGCTCGCTGTACACGTGGCTCATGGTGGGCCGCGTGGCGGTAGGCATGAGCGTGCAGCTGATGGCCAGTCGCACAACTCGCAGCAGGATGTCATCAGGCAAGGGCGGTTGCAGGTGCGCATCCCTCAGGCGCGACAGATCATTGCTCTGCAGCGCCTCCTCAGCCTGCCGCGGGGCGGTATGGAGGTATCAGAGGGAGGCGGGGAGGTTAATGAGAAGAAAAGGTTGATGGATGATGCAGCGTGCGGTGGAGGCATGCAAGCGGGCGTGCTGGATTACATCTCCAATGTCCACCACACAGTTCCATTTGGATGACACACGCATCCTTGCACCCTCAACCCACAGGCCAGCAACTGTCACCAGAAACCACGGTAGTACAGAAGGGAAACATGAGAGGGCTCACTCACCCATTCTTTGATGGTGCTGTTGCCACTGCCTGTGTTGACAAGCGCTCGCCTCCCAGTGATGACCTCAAGAATCACAATGCCAAAGCTGCCACGACACATTGCAGACACACAAGGAGCGTATGAGGCAAGCAATCGCATTCCACCTCAAGAAACACAAGGGGCCTGCACCCGGTGCACACAAACGATAGCACAAGCGCAGCGCCATTCCAGCCCGTGCCTGTTCACCACAACTAACATGCACACACTGCACACACGCATACTCACCTGCACATACACACTCTCACCTGCACACATGCAGATGCACTCACCTGAACACGTCAGTGGCGGTTGTGGCCTTGCGGGTGCGGGAGTATGCAGGGTCCACATAGCCCGGCGTGCCGAGAATGCGAGTGGTGTACACAGAGGTGCCCTCGCCCATACGCACGAGCCCAAAGTCCGCCACCTTGGCGTGCATGTGCTCGTCCAGCAGAATGTTGGCCAGCTTGATGTCACGATGCACGATGCCGAAGCTGTGCAGGTATTCCAGCCCATGTGCCGCCCCCACCAGCACGTCCATGCGCTGCACCAGAGTGAGCGCCTTGGCAGCGTCGTTGCCAACCCAGTACTCGAGGTCGCCGTGGCGCATGAACTGGTAGACGAGGATCTGCTCCATGCGCTCGTTCACCATGTCCATGTCCAGACAGTACCCCAGCAGCCGCACTAGGTTCGGGTGGTGCTTCGACGCCATCTCCTTGATCTGCCATGTGCCGCAGCGATGGGAAGGGGAAAGAACCGAGGCCAGTCCAGGTGGAGATGAGGACGGACGGTGGAGGGAAATGAGAGAGAGGGGAGGCTGTGCTTGAGTTCCAGTAAGCATCTCAGCGGATTATGTCAAAACACATGTGAGGTGACGGCTTGTTTTGACCCACCAAAGTAGCCACCTGAGCCATCAAATGATGCAGTGCAGCGCGCACGCACCTCGCGCTTGAAGTCGTTGGTGAGCACCTTGGCTCGCTTCACGGCCCATACCACCGAAAGGTCTGCAGGGTCCACAGCTCGGTACACATCCGCGTATCCCCCGCTGCCGATGCGCTGCTCCTCCGCCCAGTTGCCCGTGGACTGCTTCAGCACCGCCAGTGGGTACTGCCGGCACTGCATCGGCCCACCTGGCCCTGCTGGTAAGGGCTCATGCGGCGCTGCTGTTGCAGCAGCAGCACCGGTGGCAGCATCTGCCGCTCCCGCTGCTGCCATGGCTGAAGATTCTTCTGGGTCTGAAGGTGGAGATAGGTGAGGGGGTTGGGGAGGGGAGGGCGGGAAGGGAGGTGGCGGGCCAATACACTGTAGAAAGGCATCGAAGGGGCGAGATACGAAGGAGAAGACGGAGTGAGGCGGGGAGGCCAAGGCAGGAAAGAGCAGGTGGAAGTGAGAAGAGCAGAAGGGGCTGGAAAGGGAGTGAGAGGCGAAGGGATTACCTAGGAGTGGCGGATAGCAGCAGAAGAGGGCGCGCACGTCCTTGTTGTGGCGAGCAACGAGCAGGTAGTAGAGCAGCGCAGCAATGAGGACAACTCCCGCCACACACCCGATCACAATCCCTGCTATGGCGCCCGCTGAAAGACTAGCTGCGAGAACTGGGGAACCGTTTAGAAAGGGGGGGGGTTCTCTTAAGGTCGTAACCAGCTACTGCAGGGAATGGGGGAAGAGGAGTGAGGGGAAGGGGGGACGAGGGTGAGGGGAAGGGGGGACGAGGGTGAGGGGAAGGGGGGACGAGGATGAGGGGAAGGGGGGACGAGGGTGAGGGGAAGGGGGAAAGAGCAGTGAAGGGAAGGGAGGAAGAGGCGTGACGGGAAGGGGGGATGTTGGTAAGCACGTTGCAGAGTCTGCGTCTTTGCCACACATTGCTGCACTGCACCTACAACAGGGCAAACTCGCATGTGCGACCTTCCATCTCCGCACTACATGCTGCGAAATGCAGCTGTTTCGCCTGCTTTGGCCGCCTAAGTACAGCCGCACTGACTGCCGCTCATTGCAAGTCCACTTCATACTACTAGAGTCATCAGAGCGCAATAGAGCCCCGAGTACACACACGAGTCGGATGATGGTGCGGAGGGTGCGGGTGCTGGAGCGGGAGCGTATAGGTTGAACGAGTCGTACTGCTGGAGCGCAAACCGCCGCCATACGTCCTCGTCATAGTCCTCCTCGTACTCCTCTGTATATTCATCCCCGCCACTTTCTCCGCTCCCCTCTCCCCCCGCAGAAGCCTCTTTTCGCGGCGCCGTGCTGAACTCCGCCAGCTGAGCTGCTCTCCGCGCGCGGCCCTCGACGCCAGTGAGGTGCGCGAGGGTGCTAGGGGGAAACAGAAGCCCGTCCGTCGCGTGTAGCACGAAGCTCGTCGAGAATGATGCGGCGTATTCCAGTACAGGCACATCCGATACAGTGAGGTTCGCGCTATCCAGGTGCAGCACGACGCTCTCGCCTTGCATGGTCCGCCAGGGGCACTCCCACGCGAAGCGCGAGATTTTCTCGCGAACGAAATGGTACAGCACGACTTGGCGGAGGGTCTCGATTTGCGACGAGTTCCGTAAGACGGCGACAATCGCGGCCGGCAGCCTGACCAGAGACTCGTCGGTCGGGGCGAAGACCGTAAAAGGCGCGCCGTTAAGCGCGCCGCCGATGGCGCTGCGGACAGCAGAATGTTGTAGAAGCGCTCTAAAAGCGGAATGTCCCAAATTTGCAAGGGTATCAAGCAGGAGCTCCCACGTCGGGTCGAACACGTCGGGCGACGCTCCGCTTGGTGCCCGCGAGGCCGTCGGGAGACAGACCACGCACGCGGGCATGGCGGATGCCGCTGCTAATGCGAGCGCAACCACTGCTATACCACACGCGAGTTTCGCTCGCTTGGCATGCGGTGGCGACATGGCCGCCAGCAGGAGCTATGCGCTGCTGTCGCGAGAGGTGGTGAAAGGTGCAGCAGTTGGGCGGAGAGCAAGGGATCTGGCAGGAAAAGACTGAAGGCCTCCATTTCTGCTATCTTTTGAATCCACAAGGACGAACGAACTGGGCAAGTCAAACGGGGTCCATGGAACATTATACTCCTTCCATTGGCTGCGCGGCAAATGTTGCGCCTGCGGAAACTAAGTGGCTCAATAGGGAAATGTTGAAGAGCCCGAGTAGCCCAAGGGCGCGTGTCCTTAAAGCGGCGGTATACATTTGCCAGGGGAAAGTCCAAAAGTTTATAAAAGGTACATGGTGGTAACCAAATTACAGGGTCCCTCGACTTCAGACACAGCGACAAGTCCAAACCCAACCCCAGTCACCTGACTCACTCGTCAAAAGTTTATACCTAGCCAAAAGTATACTGAAGGACATACCTCCTCGCCACTATGCCCACACCCACGGCGTCCTTACTCTAGCACTAAAAAGGTAACTTCCAAAAGCGGTGCAAGCCATTGCGATTATAGCTCTTCTCACGCATAGGTCATACGCCGACAGAGCCATTGTTTATTTTTCGGCGCCTGATACACGGAGCATTCCGCATCAAAGTGAGAACGCCTTAGCCATTCCCTTTCCTGCGGCCCGATTTCCCTTCGCCGACGCAAAGTTCCTCTTCCCGTCGCCTAATCCCCCTTCCCGGCGCCCGATTTCCCTTTCCCGCCGCCATGAAACCCCAGTCACGCTGCCCGATTCGGAACGCCGCTCGACTCCTTGTTCTCGCCGCCCGATTCCCCGTCATGCCTGGCGATTCTTCTTTCCCGCCGCCCGATTTCCCTTTCCCGTCGCCCTACTCCCCTTCCCGTCGCCCGATTCATGTTCCCGCCGCCCGATTCATATTCCCGCCGCTCGGTTCCCCTTTCCCGCCGCCCGAATCTCACTCCGCGCCGCCTGAATCCCCTTTCTCGCCCATTGATTCCAGGCGGGCCGCCCGTCCGCCCCTTCCCGCCGTCCGATTCCCGTTCCCGCCGCCCGCTTCCCCTTTCCCGCCGCCCGATGCGCCTTCCCGCCGCCCGCTTCCCCTTTCCCGCCGCCCGATGCGCATTCCCCCTTTCCCGCCGCCCGATGCGCATTCCCGCCGCCCGATCCCCTTTTCCCGCCGCCTCCCTTTTCCCCTGTCCGTCGCCCGACCCCCCTTCCCGTCCTTCTCTCCCTTCCATCCCTTCTCTCCCTTCCCTCCCTTCTCTCCCTTCCCTCCCTTCTCTCCCTTCCCTCCCTTCTCTCCCTTCCCTCCCTTCTCTCCCTTCCCTCCCTTCTCTCCCTTCCCTCCCTTCCCTCCTTTCCCTCCAATCCCTCCCTTCTTTCCAGTCTCTCCCTTCCCTCCCTGTCTCCCTTCCCTCGCTTCCCTCCTTCCCGCCCTTCCCTCCCTTCTCTCCCTTCCCTCCCTTCTCTCCCCCCTTACCTTCTCTCCCTTTTCTCCCTTCCCTATCATCCGTCCTTGCAATCTCCTGTCTCTCCCTTCTCTCCTTTCTCTCTCTTCTCTCCCGTCCCTCCCTTCCCTCCCTTCCCTCCCTTCCCTCCCTTCTCTCCATTTTCTCCCTTCCCTCATCCCGACTTCCAATCTTCCGTCTCTCCCTTCCCTCCCTTCTCTCCCTCCTCTCCCATCTCTCCTTTCCCTCCCTTTTCTTCCATCCCTCGCTTCCCTCCTTCCCTCCCTTCTCTCCCTTCCCTCCCTTCTCTCCCCCCTTACCTTCTCTCCCTTTTCTCCCTTCCCTCTCATCCCTCCATGCAATCTCCTGTCTCTCCTTTCTCTCCCTTCTCTCCCGTCCCTCCCGTCCCTCCCGTCCCTCCCGTCCCTCCCGTCCCTCCCGTCCCTCCCGTCCCTCCCTTCCCGCCCTTCTCTCTCCTTCAATACCTTCGCTCCCTTCCCGCCCTTCTCTCCCTTCAATACCTTCGCTCCCTTCCCGCCCTTCTCCTCCCCCCCACCGTATCTCCGTTACCTTCCATTTCATCCCTACCCTTCCTCGTCTCTCCCTCCCGACATCTCTCCTGCTTCTCCTTTCACTCCCTTTCATCCCTTGCCTCCCTTGACTACCTTCCCTCCCTTCTCTCCCTTCGATAGAAGTCTCTCCGTTCCCTCATTTTCTCTCCCTTCTCTCCCGTGTCTCCCTTCCTCGCCCTTCACTCCCTTCCCTCCCTTCTCTCCCATGTCTCCCTTCCTCGCCCTTCACTCCCTTCCCTCCCTTCTCTCCCTTCCCTCCCTTCTCTCCCTTCTCTCCCTTCTCTCCCTTCTCTCCCTTCTCTCCCTTCTCTCCCTTCTCTCCCTTCTCTCCCTTCTCTCCCTTCTCTCCCTTCTCTCCCTTCTCTCCCTTCTCTCCCTTCTCTCCCTTCTCTCCCTTCTCTCCCTTCTCTCCCTGCCTTCCTGTCCCCCATCCTTCCTTCCTTACGCACTCCTCCAGCCATTCTCTCCTCTTGCAATCCTCACTGCCATCCTTCCCTTCCGCTAAACCTGTAACCAAGCCCCTTTCGATTCTCTTGTCGTCACCTCCCAAGCAACAGCGGCATTGCCATGGGAAATTTCAACATGCATCTCCCACCTACCCCCACCTACTCCCATCTCCCCTCCCCCTACCACCTACTCCAATCTCACCTCCCCTTTTCCCCCCTTACCACGGGATTTCAGCCCACCACGCCTCCCCATACCACCTACTCACATCGTTGCTCCCCTCCCCCTACCACATACAACATACTCCCATCTGACCTCCCCTTCCCCTGCCACCTACTCCCTTCTCATCTCCCCTCCCCTACCACCTCTCCTGGCCCTATCAGGCACTCTTTGCTCACCTCCCATCCCCCTACCAGGGGCATTCTTCTCACCTCCCCTCTCCTACCTCTTCTTACCCCCTCCTCTACCAAAGGCGCTCTGCTCACACATTGCCCCTCCAGGTCCCCCACACTTATGTGTTTCTTTCTTAGTTGAATCTGACCTCCTACAGCCCTCACATTGTATTCCCTTGCTCGATTTCTGTGCTTGTGTTGCAGGTGGGGTGCTTTCCTGACTGCACATCCTACGCCTCACAGGGCACATAACAGCCTGCAACCTGGGCTTGGATAGGCTGCGATTGCAATGGGAATGGCAGGGGAGCATGGCAACGGCTACGAGCAAAGCAGCTTCAAGCCTCTCGGTCAATCGGCCTGTCCTTATACGATCCAAGTATTCAATCTTCCGCCTTGAACATTAGCACATAAACACACCCTCTTTTCCCCTTTTAGGTATTTCTTACTGACCCAACACATCGTGCCATCAAACTCATGTTTGTGTTTTTACCAACTGGTTATTGAACGTAGTGCTTTGTGACATCATTACAGGTTGCTGACTTCAACACTTTTTGTAGCCAGTTCCCTACCATAACACAGTATGTAAACAAAGCACTACGTTCAATAACCAGTTGGTAGAGTGAGGGATGAGGAGAAGAAAGGATGGGGTGAGAAGGGATGCGGAGAAGAAAGGACGGGGTGAGGAGGGATGAGGAGAAGAAAGGATGGGGTGAGGGATGAGGAGAAGAAAGGATGGGGTGAGGGATGAGGAGAAGAAAGGATGGGGTGAGAAGGGATGCGGAGAGGAAAGGATGGGGTGAGGAGGGATGAGGAGAAGAAAGGATGGGGTGAGGAGGGATGAGGAGAAGAAAGGAGGGGAATCAGCGGGGGAAAGCAGGGGAAGTACGGGGGGGAAAGGCGAGGCAGAGAAGTGGAGGAAAGGAGGGGAAGCAGTGGGGGAAAGGAGGGGAAGCACGGGGGGGAAAGGCGAGGCAGAGAAGTGGAGGAAAGGAGGGGAAGCAGTGGGGGAAAGGAGGGGAAGCACGGGGGGGAAAGGCGAGGCAGAGAAGTGGAGGAAAGGAGGGGAAGCAGTGGGGGAAAGGAGGGGAAGCACGGGGGGGAAAGGCGAGGCAGAGAAGTGGAGGAAAGGAGGGGAAGCAGTGGGGGAAAGGAGGGGAAGCACGGGGGGGAAAGGCGAGGCAGAGAAGTGGAGGAAAGGAGGGGAAGCAGTGGGGGAAAGGAGGGGAAGCACGGGGGGGAAAGGCGAGGCAGAGAAGTGGAGGAAAGGAGGGGAAGCAGTGGGGGAAAGGAGGGGAAGCAGTGGGGGAAAGGAGGGGAAGCAGTGGGGGAAAGGAGGGGAAGCAGTGGGGGAAAGGAGGGGAAGCAGTGGGGGAAAGGAGGGGAAGAAGTGGGGGAAAGGAGGGGAAGCAAGGGGGGAAAGGAGGGGAGGCAGGGACGGAAATGAGGGGATGCAGGGGCGGAAATGAGGGGATGCGTGGGGGGAAAGGAGGGGAAGCAGGGGCGGAAATGAGGGGATGCGTGGGGGGAAAGGAGGGGAAGCAGGGGCGGAAATGAGGGGATGCAGGGACGGAAATGAGGGGATGCGTGGGGGGAAAGGAGGGGAAGCAGGGGCGGAAATGAGGGGATGCAGGGGCGGAAATGAGGGGATGCGTGGGGGGAAAGGAGGGGAAGCAGGGGCGGAAATGAGGGGATGCGTGCAGGGGCGGAAATGAGGGGATGCGTGGGGGGAAAGGAGGGGAAGCAGGGGCGGAAATGAGGGGATGCAGGGGCGGAAATGAGGGGAAGCAGGGGCGGAAATGAGGGGATGCGTGGGGGGAAAGGAGGGGAAGCAGGGGCGGAAATGAGGGGAAGCAGGGGCGGAAATGAGGGGATGCGTGGGGGGAAAGGAGGGGAAGCAGGGGCGGAAATGAGGGGAAGCAGGGGCGGAAATGAGTCCAAACGTGTGGACGCGGCCTTACGCATTTCGTGTATTGGAGAAATCCGTGAGGCGAGCAGCGCGTTACTGGTGGCTGCAGTAGGATGGCTGGCTCGCGCGCGCTCCTAGACTGAATTTCGCTGGAGAGCGCGTGCTTGCAACCGCGTGCTGTTTGCTGGGGCATCTAAGCGTCACATGCGCTCGCTGTGCTGGCGCGCCGCGCGGTATGCAGGTGCCGCTTTGCGGCGCGCGTTTTGCTGGCAAGCGCAGCTCTGCTGAGCGCGCTATGCTAGCGCGCGCGGAATGCCAGCATAGCGCGCACAAGTGCCGCGCGCGGATGCCAGCACAGCGCGCGCAAGTGTTGCGCGCGGAATGATAGCGTAACTGGCGCAAGTCCCGCTAACGGAATGCTATCATTGCTGGCGCCAGTGACGCGCGCGGAATGACACGACACACACGGAGTGCCACCATCGCTGGCGCTAGTGACGCTCGCAGGCGTCGCCTGTTCTGCACACGGCTAAATACTCACCCGCGTCTATGTATGTGGTCGCGCTGCTGGCCTAGCACCCTCCGGCCTGCTGCCTAGTACCTAAACTAGTAGCTACTAGATGCGTATTCCCCGTAGTGTGTGATGTGGCAAGTTCGGTGACGGGAGGTGTTTCCCATTTTGTGACCCACAACCTACCCAACCCTGCTCCTCTTACAACGGAAGCGCTCCAGTTTTTCGCCAACACTCTCGCTATTCTGTTTACATTTTCGTTGAGGCGAAATCGCCTGGCACACTGTACAGAAACAACAGTGCTGCCAAATGTATACTGCTGCTTTAAGGTTAAACTTTGGCCAAAAGTTGAACTTTTAGAAAGGTTGTACGCGGTAGGATACAGTTGAGAGACGTGTCGCCACGTTACAAAGCGGTACTAGGCTCGAACTTTGACAATCTACACCAAAAGACACGCGCCCTAAATCCGCTAAGGTGCAAGGAAATCCTTCCCAAAAGTTGAGTTGTTACGGGTGCAATGGAACGAGATAGCGAGGATTGCACTAGGTGTCAACTCTCAAATGTTGTAGCCTCTAGTGAGGCATGTCATGTGGGGTACAGCAGTTAGGGTTAGGTTTATGTACCCCAACCAACCTTAGTCAAACCATCATTCAGTTCTTGACATGGTATCACCTAGGTTAGGATCCTGTGGGATCCCGTTCCTCCCGTTCACGCCCGTAGCGCCTGAGCCTGTCCCGTACCCTACTGTAAGTCACGCCCGTATCGTACGCTAGTGCTCGCTGCGCCTGCCGGTCGCGTCGCACCCGTTTTTCCCGTTGCGTCGCCCCTCTCCCCCCCTGCCCATCCCGTTCTTGCGACCTCCTCCACTGTCCTCCCTTGTCCTGCGGCCCCGTCTGGCACTCTGTCGGGTCTCTACCTCCCCTCGTTCTCTACGAACTTGGTGGCGGGCTCTGCTCTCCAGGACGGGGGTGTTCACCAGTTCACCCCTGCCTATGAGCGGGTGACCCACTGTACGTGTGCTCGGACGGGTCGCCACCTGGCTACCTTCACTCGGCAGCCGGGGTCCGACCTGTACACACTGACCACTGAGTCCCCTCAGGTAGCTGCGTCTGCGTCTGCGTCAGGTCAGCTGTCGCTCCCTGCTCGAGTCGCTCCCTGTCGCACCAGACCGTCCTCTGGCACCACCGCCTTGGTCACCCCTCCGTGCAGCGCCTTCGTGGCATGCACTCCCGTTACCTTGTCTCTGGTCTTCCCAGAGTTCTCCCTCCCCTCCCACCCTCGCCTGCTCCTCCCTGTCTTCCCTGTGTCGAGGGGCGGCAGCGAGCCACCCTTCACTCCTCCCCTTTCCCTCCCACAGAGGCTCCCCTGCAGACTCTTCACCTGGACGTGTGGGGCCCGGCCCGCGTCCGGGGACAGGGCCACGAGCAGTACTTCCTGCTGGTCGTCGACGACTACACGCGCTACACCACGGTCTTCCCCTTGCACACCAAGGGTGAGGTCCCTGATGTTTTGATCCCTTGGATCCGCGCCGCTCGTCTCCAGCTCCGCCAGCGGTTCCAGTCGGACTTTCCCGTCCTGCGTCTGCACTCTGACAGGGGTGGTGAGTTTTCCTCCGACCTCCTGGCTGCCTACTGTGCGGAGCACGGCATCCGCCAGACTTTCACTCTTCCGGACTCTCCACAGCAGAATGGGGTTGCTGAGCGCCGCATTGGTTTAGTCATGGAGATCGCTCGTACCTCCATGATCCATGCGGCTGCCCCCCATTTCCTGTGGCCGTTTGCAGTGCGGTACGCTGCGCATCAGCTCAACCTTTGGCCCCGTGTCTCTGCTCCGGAGACCTCGCCCACACTGCGTTGGACGGGGGAGGTTGGCGATGCGTCGGTGTTCCGTGTCTGGGGATGTCGAGCCCTTGTTCGCGATACGTCCGCGGACAAGCTCTCCTCCCGTGCCGTTCCCTGCGTCTTCCTTGGCTTTGTCCCTGACGCGCCTGGCTGGCAGTTTTACCACCCCACCTCGCGCCGTGTCTTTGCCTCTCAGGACGTCACTTTTGACGAGTCGGTACCCTTTTACCGTCTCTTCCCCTACCGCACTGCGCCGCTTCCCCCCCCGCCGCTCTTCCTCACCCCAGGTGTCCCTTCGGTAGACCCCCTTCCTCCCCAGGGTCCTGCTCCCTCAGGTGTTTCCCAGGTAGACCCGGTCGAGCCTGTCGAGGTAGCTGTTGACTCTGGTCCTGCGAGGGGTGCTGCGACTGGGGGTGCTGAGCCTGGGGGTGCTGAGCCTGGGGGTGCTGGGTCTGGGGGTGCTGAGCCTGGGGGTACTGAGCCTGGGGGTGCTGAGCCTGGGGGTGCTGAGCCTGGGGGTGCTGGGTCTGGGGGTGCTGAGCCTGGGGGTGCTGAGCTTGGGGGTGCTGAGCTTGGACGTCCTGGCTCTGGTGGCGCTGGAGCTGGAGGTTCTGGAGCTGCTGGAGCTACCACTGGTGCTGGAGGTTCTGGGGCTGCTACGGGTGCTGGCGCTGCGGGTTCTGAGTCTGCTATTGCGCGGTCTCCTTGGAGTAGCCGCCTTCGTACGCGTGTGCCTCTCACCTATCAGCAGCTGCGTGACTGGTACGGTCGCCGTCAGCGTCGCGCTCCTGTAGCTCGGGACTCTGCTCCCGGCGATACTTCCACTGACGTCATCGGAGCTGAGAGTGGTGCTGGTTTGTTGTCTCCTGGGGGTGCCCACGTCGCTGGTCCCGGAGGTGCTCGTACCGCTGGTACTCGAGCTGCTGGGGCTGGTGGTGCTGTGTCTGAGGGTGCTCCCGCTGGTGACACTACGACTGGGGGTGCTGGTTCTGGAGGCGCTGCTGCTGGTGGAGACTGTCTTGGAGGAGTTGCCGCTGGGGGTGGTGGAGCTACTGGAGGTACAGGAGCTGCTATAGGTTCTGGAGCTGCTGGTGCTGGCGGCACTACACAGTCGCGCCTGTTCTTCGCTCCGCCGTCTCCGTCGTCTCTGCCGCCGCCTGACTCTGTCCTTCGCCAGGTTCTTAGTCTTCCGTCTTCTACCGGTCTTCCCCTACTGGCTGACTCACCGCTTCCTGCTCCTTCTCCTTACACTGAGCAGTCAGGAGGTCTTACTGAGCGTCGTGAGCCTGCGTCGCGTCCTGTCTCGCCAGTTCGCTCTGGTCGCACCGTTCGTCGTGTCCCGCGTTCGCGTTTGCCGACTGTCCCCGGCACGCACCTTGTCGTCCGTCGTCCTTCCTCTGTTCCACAGTCTGTTCCTCTGCCGTCTCCTCCTGCGTCTTCTCTGCCTGACGTTCCGGACCCTGAGTCTGACCGGTTTCGTGCTGAGCACCCTACTGTCACGCGTCTGCTAGCCACTGTTGTCACTGACCCCTCGTTTGAGTCTTCTGCTGCGTCTGCCTTGGTCGCTGAGCTTGTTGACTTTGCTGCTGCCTGTCGTCTAGACTACGCTGCTAGCCTTGTTGCTGAGTCTGTGTCTGTCTGTCCTCCATCCGTCGGGGGTGAGTGTGCTCTTGGCACGGACGTCCTTGAGGACAGGCACGAGGACCTTGAGTGTCTTGCAGCCGCTGCGCCTCATCTCGTGGCCATGCTGCTTGCCCCTGAGGAAGACCCGGATGCTATAGACATCCCTACCCCGCGATCTTACGCTGAGGCGATCGCGGGTCCCTACTCCTCTCAGTGGCAGGCAGCCATGGACGCAGAGATGGCATCCTGGAAGTCCACTGGCACTTACGTCGACGACGTTCCCCCTCCTGGGGCGAACATCGTCAGTGGCATGTGGATTTTCAGGGTGAAGCGGCCGCCGGGTTCTCCGCCTGTCTTCAAGGCTCGTTACGTTGCCCGAGGCTTCAGTCAGCGAGAGGGAGTCGACTTCTTCCAGACCTTCTCACCCACCCCGAAGATGACCACTCTTCGAGTACTGCTGCACGTTGCCGCTCAGCGTGACTACGAGCTGCACTCTCTTGACTTCAGCACAACTTTCTTGCAGGGCAGCTTGCACGAGGAGATCTGGCTGCGCCGCCCTCCTGGCTTCACTGGGTCGTTTCCTCCTGGTACCTAGTGGAGCCTCCGGCGGCCGGTCTACGGTCTCCGCCAGGCGCCACGTGAGTGGCACGACACACTGAGGACTACACTTGCGGCTCTTGGGTTCGCGCCTTCTACTGCTGACCCGTCGCTGTTTCTGCGCACCGACACTTCGCTGCCACCGTTCTACATCCTCGTATACGTCGACGACTTGGTCTTTGCCACTGCTGACACTGAGGCTCTCGCCCACGTGAAGTCCGAATTGCAGAAGAGACACACGTGCACAGACCTGGGTGAACTGCGCAGCTACCTTGGCTTGCAGATCACCCGCGACAGAGCACGCCGCACCATCACACTGACTCAGTCACACATGGTGCAGCAGGTCCTTCAGCGCTTCGGCTTCACCTGGTCCTCAGCACAGGCCACTCCTCTGGCTATAGGTCACTCGCTCTCAGCTCTGCCTTCGGATGAGTCCGTAGAGCCGAGTGGTCCTTACCCAGAGCTAGTTGGTTGCCTCATGTACCTGATGACTTGCACTCGTCCTGACCTAGCGTACCCTCTTGGCCTTCTGGCCCGCTACGTGGCTCCTGGTAGGCATCGAAAGGTGCACTGGGATGCTGCAAAGAGGGTATTGCGCTACTTGTGCAGTACATCGGGCATGGG